CTTTTTATTCCCCATACTTCGGCTCGTTTCTGGACAGACGTGGACCCCCTCCCTTCTTCTGTTCTTGTCGCGTTTCCATGCGGCTTCTCCTTCGATTTGGTTGTCCTCTCGATAACTTCCACGTATCCCTTCGCCCGGCCAGTGGCGTTTGGCGGGCATCCTGTGCACGTTTGTTTCTTTTCTTTTCAAATTGTGGTTGAAAGTTCTGGAGGGAGCTTCTTTCTTCTATTTATCACGACCGAGGGCTATACGTTTGTTGTTAAGCCTTTCTTTCCTATTGGGTTGAATGCTTTGTGTTCGTCTTCATGTGGATTTTCTTTCACCCCGCAATATTCTGGGAGCAACCCCAACTTCGACTCCGTTTGTTCTTCTGGTCTTTTATTGCATTTTGGCAGCGCTCATGGTCGTTAGTTTGTGGTTCCTGTCCTTGTTTCTGGAAGCCATGGCGCAGACATGGATCCCTTCTTCTTCTCTTCTGGTCGCTTTTCTAGTATGTGGCTTCTTCTTCGGTTTGACCAATGACCACCGAGTAAAATAAACCCGGGATGCAACCGGGACGTCAGCCAGGTCCCCAAAATCGTAGAGCCACACTAGGGGACATCGTGTAACCCGCCCGTGGAGGCGCACCAGAGGACATACTCAAGGGACATGAAGCCGTGGAGAAGAGGCTTCGGGAGGCGGAAAAGCTCAGGGAGGTGAAGAAGAAAATGTAGGAAGCGCATGCGGTTGAATCTCACAAGGAAATGTTGGTTTCTACCACGAACAACTCCCTGTCTACCCTTGGTCTACCCTTCCGAACAACGACTCAGACGATCCTCCAGACAATGATGTTCATCCACAAACGGATTCTTGTCACGCTAAGGCTTGGCTAAGGCCATTACTTGAAGGGACTTCAGTTATAAGGACATACGATGTTTTTAGGCACTAGCATTTTTTCGAACGGAAGGGTTTGGGTAGATACATTTTTCGAATTTTACTGGTTCCGTTGATTCAGAGTCTTGAGCTGTTGCCCATTTATGAGTCATCTATAAAAGGAAATCTTAACCTTCTCTCCACCACCGCCCACAACGACAAAACACGCTATCATGGACATCGATATCATCGAAGAAAGCCAGCAAGGCGGCTCCGGTCAGTCTCCACGACGCCCCATCATTGTCCCTGTCGACGATGCCCACCCTTTTGACCTCGAGGGCTACATCGCCAACTACACAGGTAAGTCATTGTTCCTCTTCATCTTCATCGTTGTGCTGACGATTGTCCAAGACCGAACTGCTATCGACCGCCTCATCCACATCGCCAGCATCTGTCCCTCAATCGCGACGGAGGCCTTCCAGCTCTGTGTACAGCACATCCATCAATCGCGCGACCCCACCTTGTACCAGGCACTCTTAACAGCGTACGAGCAGACGAGCAACGCGCTGGATATGCCCCTTCCGAACCCATTGGACCTCGCACAGCTCGATACAAAGTGGATGGACGAGATCATCGCGAAAAATCAAGCGGAGCGGACAAAGTTGGAAGTCGAACTAAAGACTTATAGCAACAACATGATCAAGGAGAGCATTAGGGTATGTGCTTGCTTTCTCTGAGGTTTCTTTCTGAGACTGGACGAACGGTGAAGATGGCCCATCGCGATTTGGGTGACTTTTATAGGTCAACGGGGGACTATGCCACTTCGCTGAAACATTACACCAAGTCACGCGAGTTCTGCACTACCAGCCAGCATGTCCTCGACATGTGCCTTTCTATACTCGAGGTACGAGTCATGATTCTACTTTGGAC